GCTACATTGAAAAATTAGATTACACATTTAGGAGTATATAACAGTATTTTCTTTCTGTTTTTTATTATGTGTGTGTGTTTGTGTAGTACACTGCATGATGTAACTTGTGTTGATCACTCTTTCAAACAGTGAAAACGGTCCTTTAGGATATATTTAAACTTTCTTACTGTGCTGCAGCTTCCAGAACCTCCTGGCAAGATGGTGAAGATGTAGACAGAAAGGTGATTTCTATAAACATCTATGTGTGTGTTTGTCCATTCTGGTATACAGTATCAAGTTGTTTTGGTAATTTAATCCAATCTACCCTTATTATGGAAATAATATACTTTAAATTAATATACTTGAGTGCAAACTGAATGTAATGTTTTTAGACACTTAATTGCATGTTAATTGCAATTATATGAAAATGTATTACAGTTTAAATTTATATTAATTCCAATTAGCAGAACTTAGTGCTTAGTGTACATTTTAGTCTGACTTAGTCTTTATATGTAATTTCATAATTATGTTTTCTTTAAAATATGGTTAAAGTGTACTTCTGAATGTACTGACAACCTTTTATGGTAGACTAACATATAAAGTAATTTATATAAAATCTTGTATGTCATGTATTTAAATATATTTGTAATTGCACATTTGCAATTATGAAGTTGGTCATATGATGCGATTTCAAGTTTTCCTTTCTCTTTGGAGTGTTACAAACTGTTCGTGAATAGATAAGATCCCTAAAGTTGCAAAGGCTAAAGTCTCAAACCCCAAGAGATATTCTTTATAAAAGTTAAGGCTCGTCCACGCCCTCCTAAAATGCCTTGTTTAAACACCCCCACATGTCTACGTCACGATGTGGGAAGATTTGCATAACACCGCCTAAATGTATACGCAAAGAAAGAAAGCATAACTTTGGGGACGCTGTGTTTCTTTGTGAAAGTGAAACTACTTTGTTTGGCCTTCCAAAAGAGGACACAACTAGAAATCAGTGGTTAAGTTGTATTTACAACACTGTTCCAGAACAGTTCAAACCAAATATTCAGATGTGAGCAACTCATTTTATGGAGGACGAGGACTGTTTCCTGGGAGAGTAGCCCACAATGCCGGTGTTCCAGTGAATTCAGTTCCCCAGTTTCCCTTTCGGCGCGCATGCTGACCCTATACAGTCTATGATGCTGACAAATAATGCTGACTCACAGCCTGAAAGTACGTTTTCATTTTTAAAGGATTTGCCACTGATGATTCAAACGCGAGTTTTGAGCAGTGTAGAGTAGCGCTTGTTGTTTGTCGTTTCTCCGATCATAAATGCAGACATGGTTTACGCAGCGCGATGCAACGCGTAAAAAGACAGTATAAGTCATTATAATCAGTAACTATGTCCCCACTGGATGCAACAAATGCCTCGTTTATAATGGGTTTTATTGGTTTTGTCTCATCGTGCCGGGACACGGCATCACAGTATGGTAACGGGCATAACATTTCCGTCACACACTTGAGGAATTCGGCCAATCACAACACACTAGAGATTCTAGAGTTTCAGAAAGGCGGGGCATAGAGGAGCAACAATAATGTACAGTATGTGGAAAATAATGTATTTCTTGAACTTTTAAACCATGTAAACACATTTCATTACACCAAATAATGTTCTTTTTAGCAACGTCATATGACCCCTTTAAAATATATCAACTTGTAATATCAAAGTGTAATATTTTATTAATATAAAAGTCATCAAATAACACAGTACAGTTAAAATGATAATCAAGTACTTTACATGTGCCTTAGTGTGTTAGTCAACATTAAAATAATTGTACTTCAAAGCATAAAAGAAAATTTTTACAACGTAATGATTTAAAATGTACTTTAAAGTAAAACTTATAATTTGATATTATTACAAGTGTGCTTTTTACAAGTCTACTTAAGTGTGTTAAGAAACAGTCATGAGTGTACTCTCACTGAGTACACTTGTGTCTGCAAATACAGTTTTTAAAAATATATTTTTAAAGATTAAGTACACAGCAAGTGCACATTCAATACATTTAAGCATGCTTCGTAATGTAATCAAACCTATATACGTTTTCCATCTTTCCATTTAATTCTTTATTTGATTGTATTTCTTGCTGTTTTTTTTGTCAATAGACCAGAACAAGTTGGATGAACCTGAAGAGTGAGATGGATGGACAGTCTCCAGATCTGGACCCCAGGACCTCCACCCACAGCTTACCCACCGATATGTCTCAACCCAGTGAGTAACTTCCTTAAAGTCACGTCAGTTCACTCAGTGGCCATCATGCTAACATTTCAGAGCAGCTATTTTCTATGTAGGAAACGATGAAATCTGACAACAACTGTATCGTAGTTACTTTTAAAACTTGCGATTAAAAACAGTTTTTTTCAGGCTGGTCAAGTTCATTTGCATGCCCTTTTCAGAGTCAATGGAAAAATTATTTTAAAAGTCGGGGCTTTCTTTCCTACAGCTGCCATATTGATATTGAGTGGTACATTTTCTTCTGTTCATTTTTCTATGAATTTTTCATATCCTCCTTTTAAACTGTCTCTGCCTGTCCTCCGCTTGAACATGATGCTAGAGTAAAATGCTATAAATCTTTCTAAATTCTCTGTTTTACAGACTTCCCATATAATAAGTCTGCTTCGCTGCCAGGATATGGGCGGAACGGAATATACAAGGTAAACCTTATAAGACCTGATATCTGCACACAAACGCAGCACCCCACAAACCTTTTAACACACCATCTGTGTGTGATTTTTGGGAATATATGTGAGCTGTGGTCACAAATGCTGTCATTCGCTCTCTCAGCAGTGAAGAATGTTGTTTGATCCTTGTTGGATTTGTCAAACCCAGCTGCTGGGACACAGAGGGCTGTTGTAATCGTGCACATCAGGAAACACAGTCACAGATCAGTTAGTGTAGAGATTTAGCTGAGGAAGCCATAATGCTCAGAGGGTGTGTCTGTGCTTGCGTGCAGTTAGAAGTGTGTCTTTTTCCCACCCTCTGGCTGTTTTCCATGTTCGGCTTTGATCTTGAAATCTGGCTCCCTTAATGGACTATCCTCTGTAACGAAGAGCAAGATGTGCTTCCACGGCACTCTTTATTAAAAAATCTGATTCAGATCTTTTATCTCGCATTGCCAGTGTTTTCTTTGTTTGAGAATGGTCTGAAAGCTTCTCCTGTACACTAGGTGGCAGTATTTTGCAACGTTTTTTTTTGTATCTGGACAATAAACTACCTTTTCCAATTCTTTATATGTAATCTGGTCTGATTTAGTGTCATGTTTCACCTTTACTTTCCACAAGTGTTCACAAAGGCATGTGAAATGGAGAGCTGGCTAGCTGGCAAGCTCCATCCGCAAGGATTCAAGCCTCTGTCTGTGCTAGACTTTAACCTTTAACCTCAGGAAATGAAAGAAAAACTTTCACAGTTACAGCAGCCGCTCTGTTCAAACATGATATTGTTACTCTCATTTGATAGTAGCAAAAATAAATAATGAAGGCATGGTGAAACTTTTCCACAAAAATTTTAATGTGAATTCTTAAAACTAGATGCTGAAATCAGTTCCTTTGCCTGTAGTTGAAAAAACAGCCATCTACTGTTTTGATATTGTCATGCACTCTACTTGTTAATAAATGTGCTCTGTATATAATTGTAAATATGCCATGACTTGTCATGCATTGCTTCTTACCAGGCGGCTGATCTTGGCGAGGATGATGGCGATCATGACTCATCCTGGAGTGGAATGAGAGGTGAGTATTTAACTTACATAGACAACAGACAAATTGCCTTTTTTACCATACAAAGATTATTGGTTCTAATTTGTCTTTCTCTTTCTTTTTTTTAACCTCTTTCCTGTTTTCCAATGCTTCTCAGAGTACAAGGTGAGTTCTAGTGTGCGTTTCCTATTTTGTAGAACAGTAATTGTTAACTTTTAGGTGGTGAGCCCAAAATAGGTGGCTGGACTGTTCTGATCATGGAATAACAAAAAATGAAAAGGAAAACAACAAAATGCAACTATTCTAAAAAAAACTTTTTGAATATGACCCAGAAAGCATTAAAGGGATTGTTCAACCAAAAATGA